TGTTTTAAAACTATCGGCAGTTTGTCACTGTCTCCATCAGAATTAGGTCGGCATGTAGATTTGAAAATTATCTCATATGGAAAACTGACTCACAGATGAGTAAGGTAGCTGAGATTAGCGTAGATCGACTGTTTAGATGAATGAACTAGCTCAGACTAGCGTAGATGGACTGTTTTGATTAAGGAAGCTCAGATTGGCATAGATCGACTTCAGACCGGCGTAGATCGACTTCAGACCGGCGTAGATCGACTGTTTTCATGAGTGAGCTAGTCCAGATCAGAGTAGATTCACTGGCACATCAGTAAGCTAGCCCAGGCTGGAATATATTAACTGGCAGATGCTGAATAAGTTAGTCTAGGTTGGAGTAGATCCACTGAAGGTAGCGAGTAAGTCTGGTGTAGACGCCAGGTTTGTTGGGTCTGGCACACCCGAGCCCCAGCTGGTGATTCCTACAGCAGTGTAGCGACCTGGTGAAGAGAGGGGGTAGAGCTTAGCTCATTGCAGGTAGCAAGTGTACTGTCAGTACAGTTAGAAATCTGGGTGGAGGGCCTGAGAGGAACAACCCTCGCTGCTATCAGATGTTGCATTATTGGAAAATAAATTTTAACATTAGGCCAGATAAACGATTGAAAGCAATTTGTATAAAGTGATGTTTAATATATATATATATATATATATATAATATATATATATATATATATATAATATATATATATATATATATATATATATATATATATATTATATATAAATATATATATATATTATATATATATATATATATATATATATATATATATATATTTATATTATATATATATATTATATATATATATATATATATATATATATATATATATACACACAACAGGAATACCTCGTAAATACGGCGCTCGTTTTAGAGTGTTTTGCTAATACGGCACTTTTCAATTATATTCATGTTAATTATTTTGGGCAGTGTTTCGGAGGGAGGCGCACATCAGTGACCAGTGTCAGTCTGCTTATAACTGTGCACTGTGTCTGAGTGTCGTATTCTGGCAATTTTCGAACTTTTTACTTATTTTGATATTGTTGTAATTATTAATTACAGTACAATGGCCCCTAACGGTAATGCTAGTGAAAAGAGCAAAAGTCTCTTTAAATCAAAAGCTAGAAATGATCAAGCTTTGTGAGAAAGACATGTGGAATACTGGGATAGATAATGTTAGAAGATCACACCAGCTCCACTATCCCCGTCAATATTCCTCTGATAATTACTTCTTTTAAAATGTTATTTGTCAGTCACCGTAAGCAAAGGATGAAAATATTTTGCGGTTAGCAATATAGTACTGTAATATTTTACTTTTGCATTGTTTTTTAAACCTAGCAATATTGCAGACTTAACAAAATGATAGTGTACACATTTTTAAGCTTCTATATGCACTGGCAATAATAATTATAATCACTCACCATCCACGAAGCAAACCATCGGACCTCCAGAGTCACCCTGACAGGTATCAATACCCCCTTCCAGGTATCCTGCACAGTACATCCCCTGGGTAAGACGTGATGCCCCATACACGTACTCTGCAGTACACACCTCCTCTGGCAGGATGGGCAGGAGGGCAGACTGCAGCACATTGGAGTATCCTGCAGGAAAATGAATGCTCTGAGATACGCCTCTTTCCTAGAATGGTCGGCAGGTGCTTGGATTACCTCTGGGATATCCTTTCATTTTTTTTTTTTTTTTTTTTTTTTTGCATGGTACTTGGATGTGTTTGGTCTTGGAGCAACGGTGGATCTGATTTGATGTGTAAACAATGGCAGTATCTATTTAACATTGTGCTTAGGACAATGGAGGATACATACCCTCTGAAATACCCAGGCTGCCCCACCCTGCAACGGTACAGTTGAGGTAGGAATGGTACTTCCAGTTGGACGGTACCAGACACACAGGAAGCACCAACTTGCCAAACCTTGCAGAAAAGAAAATAGTGAATCAGCAACCATCCCCCACCATGGTGCTGGTAAAGGGCTCTTGATGCCAGGAATTGGTGCTACCAAACTATCCTCCTTTCCCATGGATCAAATCTAATTACCTTCCAATCCCTAGGTACTGCATGTTGCTCTCCCCTTTTCGTTTTAAAGCTGATCACTTCTCATTCTCTAGGTCCTATATGACTTTTATGCATTAAGAGCTTCCTCGTGAATAAAATAATAATAAGAATCTGCAGCCACAATATAATTAATTGTTTATATCCAAAAAAATCATCAAAAACGATAAAATGTTATGGTTACGTTCTTGAAAATCAGCGTTTAATCTCTTAGCGCTAACTTAACTATAGAACCTATTGGAAAACAAGGGTTTACGTTCCTGTTTTAGCGCTAACTGAACTATGGAACTTATTGGAAAAATAGGGTTACGTTCCAAAAACGTTCCAAAAAATAGTGAAGTTGTATGTGGGGGGGGGAGGGGGTAGAGACTTACTGTATACCCTTCCCATTTTCCTGACAATCTTGAGGAGAGCCACATCGTTGTTGAGGTATGGACCCTTGTCGAAACTCTGGGTGGATGATCACAGAGGACACGTAGAACTCCTGCTCTTCCTCTTCCTTATCCTGTGTGAAGTTACACGGTCATTGAAAAGGGTGAGCAATGGAGCAAAAGCTAAAAAGAAAGAAATAGGCAATGGCTGAAAGAGAAGGGAGAATAGGGGATAGAATGCTAAAGAGTAAGAAGCATTATTTTCTAGGGTGGGACAGACAGAAATGAGGATTGTGTGGAGAAAGAAAATGGTAAATGTAGGAAGGAGAGGAAGAAAAAGAAAGTAAAATGAGATAAAGAAGGGAAGAAGAAAGGCAGACTGGAGGGATGCACATATGACACTAGTTACAAGTTGTCATTTAATGATATGTTTATCAGATCTATCAAGAGGATAGAGCAAACTTTTACTTTTACACAAAAATACACACAAACACAAAACACACACACACACACACACACACACACAACACACACACACACACACACACATACACACACAAGAATATGTACATTGAAATGTGTATATTTCTCCATGTTTATAAGCTAAGTACTTAATTTTACCCCTTTTACAAGGATTATAGTATCCTTCATTGGTGATGATAAGGTTATTAGCAGCCTTAATTAATGATTCTCGTGTAAATGATAAGGCTAAAGAAGCATAATTACCATAGTGGAGTAGTCTCCTATCTTGAGGAGGAAGGTGGTGGCCGGGTACTTGATAACGCAGTGGGCAGCTGTCAGCACGTAATCTGCTGTCAGTATCGCTCCTCCACACCACTGGGATGGCCCTGACCTCGTTCTCAGGTTGATAGCCACCTGTGTTTACCTCTGGCTTATCACTTTGTGGGTGTAGCACTTAGTTATGGTTATAATAATTATCACATACTAGTCTTACTATTAATTAAATAGAACAAAAGTCACAGTACAATTCACTCCTGATGCCAGAGACTGCAAAGAAAAAACTGGTCAATGTTTCGCTTGACCTGAACCTTTTTGCATTTCCAAACTGCAGGGTTTTCACTGGTTTTTTGATGTTTTCCACCTGAGTGGACAACTTTTCCATACCTGTGAGTGTATTGGTCAGCTGACGGGATCTCCTACATTTGTTTTCAAAATCATTAACGTATCAGCCTCTGCTCTGTTATTGCCAAATTACATTTTATGGGTTCTTCTTTGGATCATTTTTGTTTATCGTCAAATTTCATTCAGATTTTATTCTTAGATTCTTAGTACGTTAAATATGAATAAAACAATGTGAATTAACAACATTGTTTCTGAAGGTTAAAAATATTGGCAATGGCAACGGTATTTTGGCTACTGGAAAAACGATAAAGCAATTCCCAATAGATTTTTAGACCATTTCAAATACAATAATACAGTGGTACCATGACTTACGAGTTTAATCCATCCCATGACAGAGCTCGTAACTCAATTTCCTCGTATATCAAATCGATTTTCCTCATTGAAATTAATTGAAATGCCATTAATCCGTTTCAGCCCCTAGAAAACCACCCCAATTTTTTTGTTACGGGTTTTTAAATAAGTAAAATGTATTTATCAATAAGAAATGATATATGCATTTTTTTTGCCAGGTCCTAGCAATGTTTTAGAAATGCTGGAGTATATATATCTGTCTGTTTAGTTCTGTCTCTGTTTATCTCTGTCTCTGTTTGTCTTTCTGTCTGCCTGTGTTTCTGTCTTCCTGTCTCTCTACTTGTCTCTCTGTCTCAGAGAGAGAGCCACTCATGAACCAACAGGTATTGCACACGATGCAGAGTTAGTCACGTCTGATTACTGAACAGGTGAAAATGTGTCTTACTTACCAGTCATGCTTATTATGCCGTATATCTACAAGCATAATATAGCACTTTGTCTGGATTTTTGGATTATCCTAGGTAATTTACACTATGTATAACTGTATTTATGTGTACCTGTTAGATAGAGACAGAGACAGAGATAGAGACAGACTAGATAGAGACAGAAATAGATACAGAAAGACAGGAGATAGAGACAGCAAAAGCAAATCGGCCAGCCAGCCGGCCACCCAACCAGCTGGCCTGCCGAACATGTATTATGTATGTTCCAGAATTGTTGTTTGCTTAGGCATACATTACAGAACATTCTGGCAGGATGACACTACTCGCAACTCAAAGCGAAAAATCAACCGAGCAATGGCTCGTCCAAGTCCAATGGCTGGTCCAAGTCGAACCGAAACGTCGTCTCTCCTATGTGCGGGTTAATTGTGTATTGTTCCAGTCACAGTATTGTGACTTTTGCTATTTAACTTCTCTCAGCTTCAATAAGGTGTCCAGCTTCCATTTATGTACCCTCATCCTTGTGAGTACTTTGCATTTGGTGACTATGTCTCGTCTTTTACAATATACCATTCGTGAGATCCAGCTCATGTAATTAGCCATATATTTAATATAATATAATAATGATGCCATGGTTAATACAATGTAATGAGAATGCCAAATCAAACTAGCAAAATACTAGTAGAGTCTGACCATCCAGGATGGGCTCCAGGAGGGGGCGTGTGGCCCCCCACCACCTTGGGGGACTCCATAATAAGGGAGGGCGGCCTGTCTTCCACTGCCCGCCTCCCACACGTGGGTGGCAGCCCCGACGCAGGCGGTGATACCTCAGGCTGACTCGGCTCGTTCCTCTGTAATAAAGAAGATAACACCTCCAGAAGACATTCTTCACGTTAGGATTTGTATATTTGTTGAGGATATTTTAAGAGCTGCATTTTTTTTTTTGATGGCGGGTTTCTAAGAGTTATGATGTTTGTAAATTCGACCAACCGCTGGATTTTTTGAGCATCGAAGTCCGACGTCCTCAGTGTGGTCGCAATTGGTCTGGCCCCAGGGCACGTGTTGGCACTGTGTCACACTGGTCTCATACCCCAGGCACCGCACGTCGTCCAGCCACACCGGACCACTACCAGGGCCGAAAGTATTATTCTTGTCGATGTGAGAGGCCCCTTCCCACCCCAGCATGCGACACAACACCTGCAGAGGGAACACAGAGTTATGCTGACTAGAGACAATGCATGCAGACACAAATGTAGTGCTAGATGATCTTTATTGACGAAGTTTCGCCCACGCAGTGTCTGTTGCCAGGGAACATTTTTCCTGACTCTGATCCTAGTCATATGAGGACCTAATTTGCTCCTGTGTCTGGACAGAATAGTTGGACGGCAAATATGCTGAAGAATAGTGTAATACAAAGACATAGCCAAGCAAGCTTATATTAATGTTTCATTCATTTTGAGCGAAACCCTGTTAAACAGTCTTACTCTGGTATTATAAGCATCTCTAAATATGACACAGTAAGTGATTTTATGGCATTTTGTTGAGAAAACGTTACTTTCACCAGAGACTTCATCAATGATTTGATTGGTGGAAATATCGTCTTCTCAATAAAATGTCAAAAATCGCATCTTGTCTTATTTGCTTCGCTGTCGATATCTACATAAGATCATAAAAGAGGAGCAGCACCGCAGCAGGCCTACTGGCCCATACTTGGCAAGTCTTACTCAAACCTAAACCCACTAACAAAATGTTCGACCAACCCTGATAAACATACACAGAGTGTTTCACTCGTAGGAGTCTCCGAGTTATTGTTTACTACAGACATTATGTACTTCGAAAATACCAACTCGGGGCCTCCTACCAATGAAATACCCTCTATAAGGCGTGTCTGTGTTACCATAGGAAGATCAGTTCAAACCTCGGGTGAAAACTGGTCTTTGTGCTTACATGCCCTTCCTCCATACCGATGTCATCATCACACACACTGCCCCAGATACCCAGGTGCTTCACTTCTACGCGTCCCTGGACTGTCTCCACTCCATTACTCGGACCAACGCCTGCGCCACCGCCTACGAGACGCACCTCTACCGGGGCCTATGGAAATTGGAAGAGGAGTGAATGTAAGTGCAATTACAGTGAAATATTAATGGTTAAGTAGACACAACGAACCTAGAGGTGACAAGACGATTGACCAAAATGTCGTCCACGTTGCATTTTTAGTTTGTGGATTAATTGTGAATTGTCGCAGCCACAGTGTTGTGAGTTGTAGCAGGCACGGTATTGTGGGTTAGTCGTGACTTGTTTCGTCCACGGTATTGTATGTTAATTGTGAACTGGTGCAGTCACGGTATTTTGGATTGTGATTTGTTATAGCCACGGTATTGTGGGTTAGTTGTGACTTCTTATAGCCACGGTATTGAGGGTTAGTTGTGACTTGTTATAGCCACGTCATTGAGGGTTAGTTGTGATTTGTTATAGCCACGGTACTGTGGTAGTCTGACTTAAAAAAGTAAATTAAAAAAAA